CTGCAACCCAGCAAGGCCATGCCGTCGAACAGTGCACCGGCGGCATTGTGGAAGCACTTTGGTCAGGATGTGTTGCCCCTCATGGAGAGGCTCTTTGCACAACATCTGGTTGCCGGATGCCAGGCTCTCCCGGACAGGTGGAACCAGTGCGATATGGTCCTGCTGCCCAAGCCCAACAAGTCACTGCAGTCACCGGCACATCTCAGGCCCATATGTCTCCTCTCGTTCCAAGCCAAGACTCTGGCAGCAGTTCTTGCAGGCCGCAGTCGCCGTTTACCTGGCCGACACACCACAGTTTGCCTATGTGGCCCAGCGCTCACTGTCTCAAGCCTTGGAACGCGTCATCAGCCACTGCGCAGCCGTGAGGACCCTGGTGCAGCAGCATGTGCAGACACCCCACACACGCCGTCAGGGACGACCCAACCTCAGTCTCTATGGTGGCTGTCAACTGTCACTAGTAGACATCACATGTGCATACGATCATGTGCCCAGATGGGCCCTGGAAGCAGCCATGAGGGACGCCCACATCCCCGAGACCTTGATCCAGGCTGTGCTTCTCATACATGACCAAGCCTTTGTCCGCATCACGCACTGTGGGCAGGAGACCTCGTTCAAGTTGCGGAGAGGTCTGCGACAGGGGTGTGGTCTCGCGCCAATCCTCTGGTCACTGTACTCAGGCTGGGTCCTTAAACAGATGCACAGCCCACCGATCCTAGATGTCTCCAAAGCAGCCACTACCTACGCGGATGATCAACATTATGCATGGCTCATACGCAAAGGCCAGGACCTCGAGAACGCCTACCAGGCTATGAAGCACGTCTTCCGGTGCCTTCTTGACAATGACATGCAGATCAGCGTGGACAAAACAGTGATTTTGCTTGAGCTTCAGGGACCGCAAGCCACCAAAGCTCTCGCCAGGTATGTGGTACAGCGACCCACGGGGCCCCACATGAAGTTCGTGATCCAAGGCGCCAGCATGCTGATCAAGCTGGTGACCCAGCATGTCTACCTAGGAGCCGTCATCACCTACCGACGTTTCGAGCAGGAGTCCTCCTACACGAGGCTGGGGAAGATTCTACGCAACCACTCGGTCCCTATGCGTTTACGTCTGCAGCTATGGCAGGGGTGCATATGGCCAGCCATTTTGCATGGTCTGGACTGCACTGGCATGCCACAGCCTGAGCTTCAATCCCTCAACACCCAGCTGATCAAACAGGTTAGATCCATTGCACGCTCACACTCAATGCTGACCAGGGAGACCAACGT